TATGTTCTATTCTTCCCTTTCTAACAGCTACATGGCTTAGACGCCAGCCACACACTCTAGGGGTAAAGGCAGCTCCGATAGAGAAGGAAGCACCAAATAAAGGGTGTTGGGAAGATCCTCCCATGATGGGAGATGCATGCTGAAAGTAGTCTATAGACCGAATATGATTGCAACTCACTTCCTCTTTTGCCAACCACAGCACCCAAAAGGAGAGAGAGAACAAAAGGGAATGCCCTGCCAAAGAGACAGGGTGGGATGGGGGGAAATGGGGGGTGGGAGGGATACTGGGATTAGTGATGGTAGAGAATGGGCACAGGTGGTGGTGATCATTGTATAACTGAAACCCAAGCACAAAAATTTGTAAGTCTACAACTGTAACTCATGGTGTTTCACTAATAAAAATTTAAAAAAATAATAAAAAAACTTATGTTCTATTCTTCCCTCTAAAATTTTCAAGGACTTTATTAAATGTAGAATAAATTCCAAATACTTTAATTGCACTTTTTATTTTAATGAATCACTGTGAGTTACAGTTACAGACTTACAGATTTTCGTGATAACATTTCAATCAAACAATGTTCAAATACCCATCCCGCCACCAGTGCCCATTCTCCACCACCAATGTTCCCAGTATCCCCGCACTACCTCACTCCTTCCCACTCCCTGCATCAGTGGCAGACACATTCCTTCTTACTTTCTCTCTCCTTTTGGGTGTTATGGTTTGCAATATAGGCACTAAGCAGCCATCATGTTTGGTCTATAGCCTACTTTCATCTACCATCCTGAGTGATCCGTCCAATCATCTTTTGCTTAGTGGTCGCTTCTCCACCCCACTTGCCTTTTCCTCAGCACATGAGATCGACTTCCAAGGCACAGGGCCACCCTCCTGGCCATTATCTCTACTATTCTTAGATGTTATTCTCATATGCTGTTACTTTGTATTCTACAAATAGGTGCAGTCATTCTGTGTCTGTCCTGCGCTTTCTGACTCACTTCACTTAGCATGATACACTCCATGTTGATCCACTTATATGCAAATTTCATGGTTTCTTCTTTTCTAACATAGTATTCATCTTTTCTGCATAGTATTCCATTGTGTAGATGTACCAAAGTTTCTTTAACCCGTCATCTGTCCTCTGGCATTCTGGATTTTTCTAAATTCGGGCTATTGTAAACAGTGCTGCAATGAACATACAAGGGCAGATGTCATTTACTTTTTTGCATCTCTGGGATATATTCCCAGAAGTTTATTGCTGAGTCAAATGGGAGCTCAATTTCTAGTTTTTTTGAGAAACGTTCATATTTTTTTTTTCAAAAAGGTTGGACCATGCATCATTCCCAGCAGCAGTGAAGGAGAGTCCTCTTCTCCCCACATCCACACCAACACTGGTTGCTTTTTTTTTTTGGATGTGTGTCAGTCTCTGTGGTGTGAGTTATATCTCATTGTTGTTTTTATTTGCATCTCTGTGATGATTAGTGATGGAGAGCATTTTTTCATGTGCCTTTTGGCCATCCGGATTTCTTCTTTGAGAAAGTTTTTGTTCATTTCCTCACCACATTTTCTGATGGAGTTGGATGTTTTCTTCTTGTAGAGTTCAACCAGTGCCTTGTATATCCTTGATATTAACCCCTTAACTGAGGGATATTGGGTGAGTATCCTTTTCCATTCTGTAGACTCTCTTTGTATTTTCTGTTTCTCTTTAGGTTCAGAAGTTTCTTAGTTTAATATAGTCCCATTTGTTTATCTCTGTTTCTAATTACTGCTTCAATGTTGTTTCGACTTGAAGATACCTTTAGATTCAATGTTGTGGAGGGTTTTACTGACCTTGTCTTCAATGTACTTTATGGATTCTGGTCTGATGTTGAGGTCTTTAATCCACTTTGATCTGACTTTTGTGCATGGTGTTAGGTGGAGGCCTGAGCCCATTTTTATTTTTTTGCATGTAGCTGTCCAGTTTTGCCAGCACTATCTGTTAAAGAGGCATTCCTTGCTCCACGTCACATTTGATGCTCCCTTATCAAATGTTATATGATCATATACTTGAGGGTGTGTGTAAGGTTATTCAACCATATTCCACTGGTCTGTGGGTCTGCTTTTGTTCCAATACTGTTTTAATTACTACTGCTTTGTAGTACAATTTGAAGTTGGGAAAGGTGATGCCTCCTGTCTTTTTTCCCCCTTAAGAATTACTTTAGCCATTCGTTGGGGCTTTTTGTTCCATATGAATCTCAGGAGTGTTTGATAATTTTTTTTGAAGAATGTCATGGGTACCCTTATAGGGATAGCATTGTATCTGTGTAATACTTTGGGGAGTTTTGCCATTATGACAATGTTAATTCTCCCATTCCATGAGCAGGGCATGTGTTTCCACTTCCTCTTGTCTTCTTTTATTTCTTGAAGTGTAGTTTTCTTTGTATAGGTCCTTTACCTCCTTTAAGTGGTTAAGTTGATTCTGAGGTACTTGATTTTTTTAAAAATTTTTATTAGTGAGACACCATGAAGTACAGTTGTAGACTTACAAATTTTGTGCTTGAGTTTCAATTATACAATGATCAAATACCCATCTGAGGCATGATTGTGGATGGGATTGCCTTTTTTTATATCACTTTCTTTTTTCTTATTATTTGCATATAGGAAAGCCATGGATTTTTGGGTATTGATTTTATAGCCTCCAACTTTACAAGTCAAATGTTTCTAGGAGTTTCTTGATAGAGGCTTTGGGGTTCTATAAATGTAGTATCATGTCATCTGCAAATAGTGAGTTTGATTTCTTCCTTTCTTATCTGGATGCCCTTGATGCCTTTTTCTTGCCTGACTGCTATGGCAAGTACTTCCAGTACTATATTGAATAGTAGTGGTGAGAGTAGGCATCCTTGTCTTGTCCCTGATCTTAGAGGAAAGGCTCTTAGTTTTTCCCCTGCTGAGGATAATGCTTGCCATAGGCTTGTGGTAGATGGCTTTGACTATATTGAGAAAATTTTCTTCAATTCCCAATCTACTGAGAGTTTTCATCATAAACAAGTGCTGGATCTTGTCAAATGCTTTCTCTGCATCTATTGATATGATCATATGATCTTTATCTTTTCTTTATTAATATGATTGATTATATTGATTGACTTGCAAATGTTGAACCATCCTGTATCCCTAGGATGAATCCCACTTTGTTGTGATTTATGATCTTTTTGATGAAGTGTTGGATTCTATTTGCTATTTAATTGTTCCTTTAAAGTACCCATTATTGGTTCTCAGCCTAGACTTTAAAACTTTAAAACTACCTGATTTTCCATTCACATAATCTTCATACCAACCAAGTAGAAAAAAATCCTCATGCAAATGTTGTTCTTTGTGAAACATGCGTCCAATCGGTATCTCCACATATCAACTCCTATATGCTGGCTTCCTAAATTCTCTCCTTTTCCTCATTTGGTGTGACTTTTATAAATATCTACCTTGTTTCATGGAATTTGTATATAGTTCTTAAATGCTCAATTTTAGTCTAAGAAAATTTCCAGGAAATAAGCAAGCAATCAAACAAAATTCTAAGCATATATATGACCAGAAAAAGTATCTTTGTGTTTTTATTTCTTCATCACTTTTTGTGCAATATTTATTACAAAGTTGAGACAGATCATTAATATTTAAGGAGAATATTTAAGGGTCTATGAAAATGTGGAAACAAACATAAAACAGATGGTTTGGGCCTTTAAGACTGTGCATTATGATATTTTTTCATATTTCTTTATGAATATTTAAAAACTTTTATTTATATCAAGAGGGCTGTAGCGATAGTACAGTGGGTAGGGCGTTTATCTTGCAAGCGCCCAACATGGCCAACCCCAGTTGGATTCCTCCGCCCCTCTCAGAGTGCCCCAGTTCGATTCCTCCGCCCCTCTCGGAGAGCCCGACAAGCTACCGAGAGTATCTCACCTGCATGGCAGAGCCTGGCAAGCTCCCTGTGACGTATTCGATATGCCAAACACAGTAACAGTTGTCACAATGGAGACGTTACTGGGCCTGCTCGAGCAAATCGATAAACAATGGGAGGACAGGGACAGTGACACTCATATCAAGATCTAATAGTTATTGAAGATACCAGAGAGTTAGTGTCCAGATAAAGCATGCCTCTTGCATCAGACATTCTGGTTCAATCTTGGTACTACATTTTGTTTTCTCAGCACCACCAGGAGTGATTGCTGAGCATAAATCAGGAATAAGCTAGAGTATACAGGGTGTGATTTATAAGCAAAATTTTAAATTATAGTAATTAAAATATATATATTACCATTGTCCATGTGATTTGATAATTCTGACTACAGAAAAAAAGTTACAGAACCATGGATAATTGGCATGCTAAAGGCATTGGGTGCTATAAAAAATTTAAATTTGTAGTTAATTTGGAGCCCGGAAGAAAATTTTTTTTGTTCCTTTATGTTGAAACATTCATTCTAAATATGCTAATTTCTGAACTTATATAAAGAGCATCATTAGAATTTTTTTGATAAATGAAGATATTCAGATATATTTGTACTTACATGTACCTTAATATTTACTTTACCATACATATTAAGATCTTCTAGCTTAAATTATATTTCTAAAGTAATTTTTTTACTCTGTTTAATTTTGGATGCAATTTTTGGATGGGATCAGAGTCGATTAATATTTTTTATGAACTTAAACATGAAAAGAAACATCTACGTGCCTTATTGTAGTGAATTAATTTTCACATAAAATAGATCATTCAATATTTTAATAAGTTCATGTAAATATTTTAGTGCTGTGATATATATTTTAATTAACATAAATGTTTTTTAATAATATGTATAATATATTAATATTTGTAAAACTTTAATTCAATCTTCTCTCCAATGTGGGTTTAAGGTTTTTCTCTGAATATATAATATCAAAATTTTTAATTAGTGCGTTTTCTTAGCACAATTCTTTTTCTTTTCAGAAACTTTTGCAAATCACAATAATTTTATGAAGTATCAAGAACATAAACATGAACACCAAAGATTTTATAGTTTTACCATGGGGAAAACCTGGAAATTCAGTAAAATTAAAATATAAGTAAGTGCATAAATATTTGTGATATATAAAAATAAATACTAGCATTTTTGTAATAGTAATTCTTTTACATGAGGTTGTTTAGAGTTGATCTCAGCTTCCTCGATTGTTCTTTCATTTTCTTCACAATGCTATATTGTTGTCTGTAGTACAAATTTACATATTATGAAAGTTTTAGAATAAGGACTAAAAATATTTATGCCAAAAGATGCAAAATGGAAATTGGGGTTATTAATTATTAAAGCAGTATAGCTTATATAAATATTTTGTGACTTATTTAAGATATAAAATTATTCTAAGGAAAATTAAATTAAAATTAAATAAAAAACACTATATACACTATAAAAGCACTATAAAAAACCTAATACATTTACATCATTACAAAGGGTTGTGCTGTATTTATCCTTCCCAGAAAGAGTACCTTGTACTCTGAATTGCCGAGAGGTGCATTCAGTCAGGTTCAAGTAATTCTGGGTATCATGGAAATTTCAAAACATTGTTTGGATAGAGATGATTCATTATACTGTTTCTCTTTGAGATCATCTTGACTTTTAGGAAATTTCCAATGCCTTCCTCTTAAATATCTCTAAGGGAGAACAGAATTGACCAGAATATCAATTTTTAATTTAAGTTTTGACATTCCTTGATCCAAATTATCTTGTGGTTTTTAAATATCTTTAGATATTTCATTTTTATATGTTTGAAATACTATGTAGGAGTATGGTGCTATTAGAAAATGTTGTGTAGATTCATGGCATTATCATCATTAGGTTTATCATATTTTGCTAATGATTGTTAGAATTATCAATTGTCCTTTTTTTTTTTTTTTGCTTTTTGGTCACACCCAACTATACTCAGGGGTTATTCCTGGCATTCAGGAATTACTCCTGGCGGTGGTGCTCGGGGGACCATATGGGATGCTGGGAATCGAACCTGGATTGGCTGGGTCCAAGGCAAACGCCTTACCTGCTGTGCTATCGCTCCAGCCTCTGTCAATTTTCCTTTTTTAATGAAAAAAGTCAGGTCAGAATAATCACTGTATTATTAGGATTACTCGCATTAGGCTTCTAACTGATTGCTTTGCATGTAGTCTTATAGTTTTTAATTAATTCCTCTATTATGTGACCAGAATAAACTGAAATGCAAAGTTGATTAGTTATCGTAAAATCCTTTAATGGTTCTTATTTCTCATAGTATACAAATCCTAATTTTTTGCTATGAGTTAGTAGCTCATCATTTGGCTGCTACTTGAGGGTTCTTTTTTTTATGCCATTTTAAACATTTTACAAATAATAACTGATGATGCTAAAGTTCTAGTTTATTGATACACATATCACTTCTCTCTACTTTCATGCTTCTATTTCTTCCTAGAAAACTGTTCTACCTATTTTCGTTTAGCTGGTTTAATTTTTTTATCTCTGGATCTCAGCTCACGTTATGTTTGGGTATTTCTCAAAAATTTCTGTGGTTCATGGCTCAATCGCATTCTTTCTCTTTTCTTTCTTTTTATACTGGCTACTCTATTGTGCCTTATTCACAGAGTTTATACTTCTATAAGAGGTTATTGGGTTTATATAATATTTTGATGTGTGAGCATAATAACAATAATGACTTTGCCTCATACAGTTTTGAATATGTCTGCAGATGCTTTTACACTTGACAACTACTTTGGCTGACTTTTCTCTTTGGTCAGTACTTATCAGATACACAAGTTAGTTTAATTCCTTTGGATCTCTGTTGTTTTTGTATTAGTTTTTTGCCAAACATAGCATATATGGTTTCTACACTGCTTGATTATAGTAAAATACTAATGTAAAAATGAAGGAAGAGGGGCTGGAGTGATAGCACAGCAGGTAGGGCGTTTGCCTTGCACGCAGCCAACATGACCGACAAAGGTTCAATTCCCAGCACCCCATAGGGTCCCCTGAGCACCGCCAGGAGCAATTCCTGAGTGCATGAGCCAGGAGTAACCCCTGAGCATCGCCGGGTGTGACCCAAAAAGCAAAAAAAAAAAAATGAAGGAAGGAAGATATTTACATTCATGATAGATTAAGTAAGCCAAGAGCTAGGTTGGCTTAGATCTACAAGAGTATTTATGACAAATTTTGGCAGAAAGACCAAAATTATAAAGTGAAAATTTGTTAAAACTTTGATGAATTTCAGATATCATATAATAGTTTGCAAATAAATATGATTGTTTTACTTTATCCTAAAATAGTTCATGTCTCATTGATTTGCTTCATAGAAAACTATGGGATATAAATGACTCAGTCCTCTTAATTTTCTTGATAGTTATTCTAACAAAATTGTAATAGATAATTTCTCTCCTTGATCTCAAGCATATTCTCTTTCTCTTTTCCTCTCTCCCTCTTTCTCTCCCTCTCTCTGTGTTAGGTATAAAAATAGAAATTTTATGTAGACCTCAAAATAACGATTTCAACAAAATATGTGAATTATACTCATACAGAAAAGGATCATTTTCTTAAACATTCTGCTTCAGACTCCTTGAATCCATTATAAGACCAGTATAAAAAATGTAAAATTAATTCTACTTTTGCTTTCTATTTGTGTGCCATTGATTTTTGTGTACATATACAGCCACAACTTATGTATAAAAGTAAATTGTGATTTTAAATAGTTAACCATAAAAACAGAAGGTTTAAAGAGATATTTTGCTTTGATAAAATATTAATGAAGTCAAATGTTAATTCTAGAAACCATATTTCAAATAAACATAATGGAAGTAGTGAAATTGCTACTTATTTATCATAATTATGACCTGTGGCAAGGAATGTTGTGAACTTATGTTGTACTATTTTGTGCTTGTTGTTTTACCCCAAATGAACATTCTATGTTAAAACCTTTCTTTAGAAATTCTCAGGATTTGAAAATGGAGAAAGTACAGTTAGAGTTGGAGAATCAAGAGATGGAAAAAACACTACAGGAATTCCAGTCAATGAGGAGCAAAGAAAAGGAAGAAAGACCGTGGGTTATAGTTTTAGATATTTCTACAATTTTTACCTAAATTATGGAAATAATATTTTATCTATAATTGTTATTCTAATAAAGAAATGTTCTAAATGAATAATGTGATATTTTCTGTTGAACAACATTATTGAATTTCCTCTATGCTTTCTTTATTAAACATATACAAGGAATATTACAATTCTAAATGCTTTTACTTTTATTTTCTATGGAACTTAGTACTGTCTTATACACGCTAATTTATCTTATTTTATTAATTATTCCTCTGACTCATTCATATTCTGGAATATAAGTTGAATTTGCCCTTTTGTCTCATAAGATTGCCATACAAAGACAATAAAATATATGCTTTATTACCAATTTGTACTTAATCACATTTATTGATTTAAAAAATGGGAGTGCAGGAATTTATATGTCAAAGAATTGCACAACCTTTCAAAAATTTTGTGTTACAAAAAATTACTTTTAGTAAATTCTCTTCAAAATTGTGTTAATGAAAACTCTTAATATTATGATTGCATTTATTTACTAATTTTATTGATGATTTTTTCCTTATTACAGAAATGATATGATAATGCATAACAAGTAATGAGATAAGGTATATAGCATTAGCTTTAGACTGGTAGGCAGACAGTTTTCTATCACTTATTTCAGCTTTATCTTTACATGAACTCTTGTATATATTCATGCATGTCTGTGTCTGATGTATGTAACAGATGTTTTTTAGAATGTTTTTACAGATGACACTTGTTTATAAAAACAAGTGAATTGATTCACACCCTACTTTTCTACTTTTGCCACATTAACATAAATCTCCATTTTTCAGTCGTGGCCTGATTTTTATTTGTGTGAATATACAATGCCCTCTATTTTTCAGTTCTTTAATGTCTAGTGTTTAAAATTGTTTCTTTGAACACTTTTTTACATGCATTTTTGCTTATTCATGAAAAAGAGTCTGCGGGTAAATTTTTACCCATGTGATTTTAGGTCAAATTATGTATTTTTGTAGACGTAGGGAAATTTTCTTCCAAAATAATCTTCCAAATAATGTTCTATAGAAAATGCACGTTATGTATGCTTTTTAATGGTACTAAATAACATTAGATATGTTATATATTTACTTTTGTTTGATGCTAAATAGTGATCATCATCATATACCTTTTTAGGCATTTTCTGAACCAATAAAGAAAATCAAAATGTTTATTATTTGTTTAAGTTAACTTTTAGGGGTTACTCCCGGCTCTGCACTTAGGAATTACCGTTGGTGGTGCTCAGGGGACCATATAGGATGCTGGGAATCGAACCCGGGTCGACCACATGCAAGGCAAATGCCCTATACGCTGTGCTATTGGTTGCTCCAGCTCCTGTTTAAATTATCTTTAAAGTCTGATTCTTAAAAAAAAAAAAAAAACTGTGCAAGATGTCTACACACATAACTTTGGAAATGAAATATTATTTCTGTTTTCATTTGAAATAGAAAGTTTGTGTTTTTCAGTGATCAATGCACCTAAAAATTGTATATAATTTCAGTTGACAAAGTTTGCTATGGGTCTTGCTCTCCTCTCTCAGTAATCTAATGGCCAGTTCTTTGTTTTAACCGTCATGTTCTTAGGTTTAGCTTCTACTTATCATTGAGTTCTGAACACATTTGAGAATCAACTACAAACACGAGTTTTTTTCCTTAGCTGAGAAAAAAAAAAATTAGATGTTTTTTCAATATCCTGGAACTTAACTGAATTTTCAAAACTGCTAAATTCTTTTCTAAGGTCACATTGATAATAAATGCGACAGCCAGAATTCCCGTTTATAATCTTGATTATGTTGTTTATTATTAGGGTGACACTGAAAAGTTTTTCATCTCATTATTTTTCAGTAGGATTGGGCCCCCCTACCCTGTCTACTTCAAAAATTTTGCAAAAATCAAATTTCTGAAAATAAAACCAAATATTTTGCCCTACTTTTCAATCTCTGTCTTATTAAAACACGGGGATGGATTTGAATTCCAAATAATCGTTCAATTTGTGAATTACTATAAATCACTTAGTAAATCTGCTCTTTATTTTTGGGCATTATTTTTCCTATTTTTCCTTATTTATTATTGCATATTTATAGCTTTTAGCTTTAAAAACTATGTATCACTGTAGTACTGTCCTCCCATTGCTCATCGATTTGCTCAAGTGGTCACCAGTCACGTCTCCATTGTGAGACTTGTTGTTACTGTTTTTTGGCATATTGAAGACGCCATGAGGAACTAGCCAGGCTCTGATGTGCAGGCAGGATACTCTCAGTAGCTTGCAGAGCTCTCCGAGAGGGACAGAGGAATTGAACCCAGGTCGACCGCCTGCAAGGGAAACTAAAACTATGTAATAGACTGTAAAATTTCCTAAAAATCAATAAATCTATATCAGTTAAGATATGATGCATCAAATTTAGTAAATTTGGTTTTGGGCATTCTTTTTTTGTTACTCCTATTTAAAATTCCCGAATATAGTATAACTATATTTTAGAATTGTTAAGGATATTGTGGCATTATTAATAGTTGAGTTTTTATTTGTGGTGGTCTGTTACATGTTAACAATTGAATTTCCATGTTTTGGAATAAAAATATTTTTAATTTGAAAAGAAATGTATTTAGTAATTATATTTTTGTTCTGTTTATATATGTATATATATAGAAGGTCAAGTGGATATTACTGGAAATCTGGACACATGGCAAAATTGGGAAATCAATCACATTTGATATCACAAAATAAAGGAAATGTTAAGGTAAGAAAATGTATTTGATTCTCAGACAATTTGCTAAAACAAGAAATTTTAGATCTTGAATTCCCATTCATACTGCAAAACATTCTATTCTTAACAATTTTATATCTAATTAATTTTGATTAGGTTTTATGTTAATATGTTATAGCTCTCAGTATTTATGCCTTTTCTGAAAAATAAATTTTAATAATTTACAATTAAGTGAATTTTTGATATAACCTAGGATCAAATGTTTTCTACCTATTACTTTCTTATTTTTCAATGTTTCCATATTTATATTGAAAAATTTTATTTGTAAATGTTTATGATACTGTATGTGTAGAAATTTAACCAAAAATATTGTTAGCTTTTCTAGATATAGAATTGCTTTATTTTTACTTGTATTTTAATATATGTTCCGTTATATTTAAGGTTTATACCAGATGAGTGTCTTCATGTAAGGGAACTGTTTTCTAATGTATTATTTAAAAAAAAGAGTTGTGACTTTGTAAGTGTTTACTTATAGCTTTTTCTTTTTATATGCTATCATTATACTTTCATTGGCCAATTGGCATCTACAAATATTTTACAGAGCACTTCTCCCTGCTTCATAATAGCATTTTATTCTTAAGTATTGTTCTCTTACTGAGATATACTTTTTTTTTAACTCTTTCTATTCTTAAACTATCTCTCTAAACTATTTTTCCATGCTCCTGATATTAGTATAAGGCATTCTAAATGCTACCTTGTTTACTTATTTAATAGCAATTATGAAATGAATGTGTTGTCATATAATAGCAATTGTCCTTGCTCTCCAGGAGATTTTCATCAGATACAAAAGAGGTTGTATATTTGAATTAAAAACATATTTTCAAGGAAAAGATGATGAAATAAGTAATAATCCCAGTCATTACCAGTCTCATAGTTGAGTAGGAGGGTAAAAACACAAGGTCAGGAACTATAGAAGTTGGGTATAGAAAGTGAGATTAGGTAGACAGAAAAAACTTAAATATCCCCATTCATTCTCTTTATCTTTATCTTCTGCTTCACTTTGATTTATTTCCTTCTCTGTACTTCTCCTCCCTTTATTCTGGGGTCAAAGGCTAATCCAGACATCCCTCCTAAAATAAAAGGCACATTTTTAAAGTTGGTTGTTGTAGTTTGGATCTCATGCTAACTGTATGGACTGGAGCAATAGCACAGTGGGTAGGGCATTTGCCTTTCATGCGGCTGAGCTGGGTTCAATTCCTTCATCCCTATTGGAGAGCCTGGCAAGCTACTGAGAGTATCCTGCCAGCACAACAGAGCCTGGCAAGCTCCCTGTGGCGTACTCAATATGCCAAAAACAGCAGCAACAAGTCTCACAATGGAGATGTTACTGATGCCCGCTTGAGCAAATCGATGAACAACGAGAGGACAGTGCTACAGACAGTGCTTACTGTATTGCTGGTTTTTTTGTTTATGCATATACCACTTCTCTCACTACTGATGTGTTCAAGTCCTCTGACTCTTCTTCTGTTACCTCTCATTCATCTCTTATTCTCTTCCTCCATTTCTCTCCATTTATCTTCATTTCTGTAATCAATAATAATCTGGGTATACCTGCCTCTGATACTTTGCATTCCCTCTTCCTGTATTCTACATACCACAGATAAATGAGATCATCTTGTGTTGTGCTCTTCTGTTCTTCTGACTCACTTCATTTAACATGATATCCTCCACTCCAAATTGCAATGAATTGCATGATTACATCCCTCCTTGAAGCTGAATAGAAATTCATTGCATATATTCTACACCTTCATTATCCACTCATCTGTCAATTGGAAACCTGGGTTGATTCCATATCCTAGCAATTTTTCTAAGTGCTGTGATAAATAATGCTGTGCATATATCTTTTGAATGAATGCTTTTGTTCCTTGAGGGAGTATACTAGGAAGTAGAATTACTATATCATATGGAAGATCTAGTTTTTTTTTCTGAGAAATATATATATTATTTTCTATAGGGGTTGAACCAGACAGCATTTCTACCAGAAATTGATGAGTGCCTTTTTTTTACCATGTATTCACCAACTCAGATTGTCCCTAGTTTTTTTTTTTAATAAGCATCATTCTCACTAGTTGAGATGATATCTCATTGTCATGATTGGGATTTTCCTAATAATAAATTATAATGAACACCTTTTAATGAGTGTCTTGGTCATCCACTAACTTCTTCAGAGAAGTGTCTGTTAATTCTTCTTCTCATTTTTTGATAGGAATCCTGAATTTTACTTATTGATCTTGGATGCAGGTTACATTGAATCTGTGCAATAATTTAGGTAGGATGGTTTGATCTTGATGGTTTAATCTTCCATTACATTGACATAAACTATATTTATTCATTTTCTAAGATCTTTTATTTCTTTCTTAAGTGATTTATGATTTTGTTACTATAGGTCTCACTTTTTTGTTGTTAAAATTTTTCCTAGGTGCTTGATTTTTTGACATCATTTTAAATGAAGTGAACTCTTTGATGCCTTCTATTTTCTAATTCATTACTTTTATAAAGAAATGACAAAATGTTGTGTGTTGACTTTGTAGCTGGATACTTTGCTCTATTGTTATATTGTTTCTAGGAACTTTTTTAATGGACTCTGGACTTTTCTATGTATTCTATTGTTATCTGCATATTTGTAGATAACTTTTTATTCAAATTTGACATCTTAATTTCTTTATCTCACCTGACTGCTCCTGTTAGAACTTCTAATACTATATTTAATAAAAGTGGAGACTATGGACATCCTTGACCTGTACCTAATTCAGAAGGATTTCTTTTAGTATTTCCCCATTGTGGATGGTCCTGACTTTGGGTTTATTATAGACGGTCTTTAATATTAGGAGAAGGTAGCCTCCATCTCGATTTTGTTGACATTTTTATTTGTTTGTTTATCATGAATTGATGTTGCATAATGTCATAAGTTTTCTCTGCATAAATTGACACGATCATGCGATTGTTGTCTTTACTTTCATTGATGTGGTGTATTATGTTAGCTGGTTTTCATATGTTAAACTTTTCTTGGGCTGGAGAGATAGCACAGCGGGTAGGGTGTTTGCCTTGCACAGGGCCGATGTGAGTTCGATTCCCAGCATCCCATATGGTCCCCTGAGCACCGCCAGGAGTAACTCCTGAGTGCAGAGGCAGGAGTAACCCCTGTGCATTGCCAGGTGTGACCCTAAAAGCAAAAAAAATAAATAAAAAACTTTTCTTGCATTCTTTGATTGTGGCCTAAGATTTTTTAATATACTATTTGACTCAGGTCACTAAGATTTTGTTGAGGATTTTGCATCAGTGTTTATCAGAGAAATTGGTGTGAAATTTACTTTAGTGAATGTCTCTATCTTGGTTTGGGCATTAGTATAAGTTGACTTCATATAAAAGACAGGAAAACCTGTGAATTTAGGTTTTTGATTTGACTGCTGTTTTTTTATTAATGTATTGTTATGAATTGTCCACTGAATACAGCTTTTGCTGTGTTCCATAGATTCTGATAGTTTGTTTCTTTATTCTTATTAGTTTCAAGAATTATTTAATTTTTTCCTTGATTTCCTTTTTTGTCCAATTGTTTTTGCATTGTATTATTTTTGCAGATTCCTGACTCTAGAGTTTTTCCACTTCTTTTTACGTTTAATTTCTATTTTCATGGCATTATTGTTTGAGAAGGTGGTTGCTATGGTTCACCTATTTTAAAATTTATGCATGTTGAAGTTATTCCATTATATATGGTCTACTATGAAGAATGCTCCATATATATGAATATATATATATATTTGGGAAGAATATATGTTCACATATATGAGGATAGAGGGCCCTGCACATATCCATTAATCCCAGTACTTCTAATTCTTTATTGAGGGCTCTTATATCCATACTGAATGTGGAGTGTTGAGGCCTCCCAATACCATTGTGTTTACATCGATGTGATGTTTTTATTATTTTAGCAGAATACTTATAAACTTTGCTGACACATTATTTGGTGCAAATATGTTGATACAAGTTATTACTTCCTATTCTATTGTTCCTTTAACCAATAAGTACTGTCTATTCCTATCTCTAACTACTATCTTTATATGAATGTTAGCTTGTCTGGTATAGGTATGTTTTTCCCAGATTTTGTGTGTGTATCATTGGATATTCTAATTGCTTTTCATCATTCTGCTAGGTGCCTGTATTTATAATGTGAATTTACATATGTTTCCTATAAGCAGAAAATAGATGGATTTTGTTTTCTGATCCATTCAGTCACTCTATGCTTTTAGATGGGAGGGTTTACTCCCTTGACATTTAGAGATGTTATTGATAAAAGGGATGTGTTGTTATTGTTCTATGTGGGTTTTAGGCCTTTTTCAATTGAATGTTTTTATTTTATAGGTGGTCTTCGAGCAATCCCTTCAGACTAGCAAATTTGACTATATCTTGTTTGTCTTAAAATACATTTTTCCTTCTCTTATATCTAAATTATAACTTTGAAGAGTAGTAGACTCTAGTTTAAAGTTTTTTTAATTCATTACTTTGAATATGTGATTCCATTATTTCTTGCTTGTTTGGTTTCTTGTCAGAGATCTGCTGTTAGTTTTATGTTATTGCCCTGTGTTTGATATTTTCTTCTTTTTTGATGCTCTGTGTATTCCATTAATAATGAAAATATTCTCTTCCATTATTTTATTTCTCTTTTCTTTTGCCAGCACATTATTGTTGCTGGTTTGTGTTTTGTCTCCAAGTTCACTTATTTGGCTCTGTTTATTCAGAGTTCTGTCACTTTGGCTTTCTATTAAATTCTTTTTTTGTTGAATCACAGTGAGATACAGTTACAAACTTTCATGATTAAGTTTCATACAATAATCAAGCCACCACCCCTCCACTAGTGCACATTTCCACCACCAATGTTCCCAGTATTCCTGCTGTCACCCCCAACCCATCCCACCCCCTGCCCCTGAGGCAGGTACCTTCCTTCTTACTCTCTCTCTACTTTTGGATGCTATGGT